CATTTATTAAACATCCATTATGTGTCAAACACTGTGCTAGGCATTAGGGATGCAAAGACAAAGAATGAAATGATCCCTCCTGTAGCAAAGCCCTTACAACTAAATTGTGGGAAAGAATGGGGGTGGGGAGGAAAGAGAGCTGGCATGAATAATTATAAAGCAATGAATGATCTCAAAAACATACCCACCAAAAACCATGTAGATTGTTTGGAGAGCAATCTGGCAGCATGAAGTAAAAGTTACAAATATAATCATACCCTTTGACACAATAATCCCATTGTTGGGAATATACCCTTTCAAGTGTTATCGAAAACAAACAAACAAAAAATGCCATCTATTCATAGATTTTTATAGCAACATTATTTGTAATTGCAAAAAAGAAAAAGAAAAAAAGCACCGAAAACAACCTAAATGTCCAACAATAAGAGAATATATAAATAAATCATACTGCAATGTATTAATGGAATGGAACAGTATGATGCAATTAAGGACAAGTGTAATTAATATAAAGAAATCTGGAAAGACCTTGATGAAATAAAAAAAGGGGAAAAAAAGAATGTAAGAGAAGAGTACATGCTAAGCGACCTTATAAGAGCCAAAGCGAATAAAGGTGAATGGATATGCAAATATTCTGAAGTGAGACTTGGAGAGAGTAACTGAGAAGCTAATATGACCTTTTATGGGAGAAGGCTAGAGAGAGGGGCTAGATCTATGATTTCATTAATATAGGGGACTGCCAGGTAAGGAACTTCCTTCTACCAGTGCAGTAGCACCTTTTAATTTTTCAACTTAACATCTTAGAGAATTAAGAACATTAAGAGGTTAGGTGACTTGCCCAGGGTCACACAGCCTAGTCATTGTGTTTATCAGAGGCATCTAGCGTTTTATGGGCTTTATTTAAATGCTGCAAAGTGCATTTTACTAGGTATAATGATGCTTAATATTGGTTTTTTTCCTTTTTCAAAATTATTATTTATTTATTTTTAATTTTTTTTCAGCTTTGAATTCAAAATCCTTTTCTTCCCTGCAACCCCTCCCCCATCTATTGAGGAGGCAAGCAATATATTGATTATACATGTGAAGTCATGCAAAACAGATTTCCATATTAGCTGTATCACAAAAAAGCAAGAAAAATAAAGTGAAAAAATTATACATCAATTTGCACTCTGATTTCATCAGTTCTGTCTTTGGCAGGAGAGAGCATTTTTCATCATGGGTCCTTCAGAACAGATCATTGTATTGATCTAAGTAACTAAGTCTTTCACGGTTGATCATGATTATAGTATTGCTATTACTGTATATGGTGTTCCTCTGGTTCTGCCCACTTCACTCTACATCAGTTCAAATAGGTCTTCCCAGGATTTTCTGAAACCATCCCCCATGTCATTTCTTATACCACATTAGTATTCCATCACAATCATATACTACAACTTATTTAGCCATCTCCCAATTGATGGGCATCCCCTCAATTTCCAATTTTTTCCTCCCACAAAAAGAGCTGCTATAAATATTTTTGTATATATAGGTTCTTGTCCATTTTCTTTGATCTTTTTGGGGTACATATCTAGTAGTGGTTTTGCAGATCAATGGGTACGCCTAGTATTATAGTCCTTTAGACCTACTTTCAAATTGTTCTCCAAGATAGTTGGACCAGTTCACAACTCTGCCAACAATGCATTGTTGTTCAGTCATTCAATCATGTCCAACTCTAGGTGACTCCAAGGATTTTTGTCCATGGAGTTTTCTTGGCAAAGATACTGGAATGGTTTGCCATTTCCTTCTCCAGTGTGCCTCCATTTTACAGATGAGGAACTGAGGCAAATAAAAGTTAAGTGATTGCCCAGGGTCACACAGCTAGAAGTATCTAAGGCCAGATTTGAACTCATATCTTCCTGACACCAAGTCTAGTGTTTCTATTTTTCCATATCCCCAATAGTTTAATATTACTAATAATAAACCATTAAAAACACACACACCTATCTCTAGCTTTGTACTCTACCAGGCACTTTGTTGTGGACTTAGTTGCCAAACATCTTTTTCCTGTGATATTTTCTTCAGACTGGTGATAAACTGTACACCAGAGGGAGTTCATAGATGTGCAGATAGGTGCCAAGGAACAGGAGCCTCTGGCCTAGAGTGAAGGGAAGTAACACAACCCTGAACTGGGCACGTGGAAACCTGAAATTCTAGTTCTCATCTAGTGCCATTAAGTTGAACAAGTGAGACATTGGGTAAGTCCCTTCTTCTCCCTCAGTTTCTCTATCTGTACAATGGAACAATCTGATAAGGTGGTCTCTCCAAAGCTCCTTCCAGGTCTGATATTGTAGAATTCTGTGTATGGATATGGGGATAAGTGAGAGGCCCCTGCTAGGAGTCCCCAGGAAGGAATCCAAGGGGAAATGGTTCTGAGCAAGCTTGTAGGTCTAACATGGTCGGAGCAGATACACCTGCTGTGATGGGCTTACACAGCATATTGGCCCCTCTTCCTCAGAGAGCCCAGGCTGAAGAGTTCCCAGGGATACAAGATCCCAAGCCCATGGCCTTCTGGTAAGGCACTGGCCAACTGTGATACTAGTCTAAGTGCAGTGTAAGAGACGGCACTGGAGATGAGACTTCAAGGAAGCAAGGAATTGTACAAGGCAGACATGAGCAGGAGTGAATGTCAGGCACGGGGACCAGACAGAAAATTCTCATGGCCATCTCCTGATCCTACTGGACTTGAGGACAAAGGACTAGCATTAGCCCATCCATGAGTCTACAAGTTCAGAGCAGCTAGGTGGCACCATAGTACACAGAGCACTGGGCTTGGAATTAGGAAGACTCATCTTTCTGAGTTCAAATCTGGCCTCAGATCCTTCCTAGGTGTGTGACCTGGGTAAGTCACTTAACCCTGTTTGCCTCAGTTTCCTCATGTGTAAAATGAGCTGGAGAAGGAAATGGCAAACCACTCCAGTATCTTTGCCAAGAAAACCCCAAATGGGGCCACAGAGTCAGATATGACTGAAATGACTGAACAACAAAAACTGAGCTCCATGTTTAGGACAGTACTTTTGTCCACAGGAACCTATTTTAAAATTTGCTTGAGGAAAAAAAGGTAGTGTTTCATCATGGAAAGCGGCAGTCATCAGAAGACCTGAGTTCCCAACCCAACTCTGCCATTGATTTGCCAATGTGACCTTGGACAACCTCTTTGGAGTTTAGTTCAACTAGGTCCCTTCCAGCTTTGATATTCTTTGGATTCTCTGGGTAGATAGGCTGGGAATCAGGTTGTAAAGTAGGGGGCAAGGAGTCAGAGTTGAGGAGGGTAATGCAGAGATAAATAGAAAGTGTGATCTGTGCCATGGGATCTTATAATCCAATAGGGAAAGTGGGACATGCTCAGACACAGAGTGAGATAGTGAGAAATAAAATTCAATAGAAAGGGAGTAAAGGTACTCCAAGGAATGGAGATCCTGAATTAAAAGCTGGAAACCTGCATTCAAATACCAGTTCTAACAACCTGTGTGACTAGAGACCAGTCCTTTAGACTTTCTGAGCCTCAGTTTACTCATCTGTAAAACAAAGATAATAATCTTTGCACTGTGTTCCCTAGAGGATAATTGTGGGAGAAATTGATTTGTTTGTAAAGCCATAATGTGCTATGTTATCATAGTAATACAAGTCAGAACATGATCCCTTGAACTATGGGATCAGGCAGTCTTATTCTGTGACAGGCAAGATACAGGAGATACAAAAATGGAAAAGAAATAGTCCTGCCCTCCAGGAAGACAACTCATATATATATATATTAAATACAAGGGATTGTGTGTAGGGATTGGTGGGGATCAGGAAAAGCTTAATATAGAAGATGGTGCATAAATCATGTTTTGAAGGAAACTAATGATGCTAAAAGGTGAATTGTACATTCCAGAGCAAGGGAGATGGAATGAAACATGAGAAAAGAGTGAGAGAAAGATCACTTCTGATGGGGGGGGTAGTAAGTCAGGAAAGACCTTCACACCAGATCTTGAAGAATTGGTAGGAAGTAACATAATGGATAGAGTCAGGAAGACCTGAGTTCAAATCTGACCTTAGTCACTTACTAAATTATGTAACTCTGGGCAAGAGACCTAGCTTTTGTTTGCCTCAGTTTTCTCAACTGTAAAATGGGGAAAATAATAGCACCTACCTCTCTGCATTATTGTGAGGATCAAATGAGATAATTTTAAAGTGCTTATCATATTGCCTTGCACATAATAGGTACTATATAAGTGTCCACTATTGTTGTTATTATTAATATATTTAAAGTGTGTCAGTGATGATGATGATGATGGTGATGATAACAATGATAATGATGATGATGATGATGATGATGATGTCAACTTATTGACAGGCAGGGATGTCTTTCCAGATTTTCCTACAATGTAAACAGCCACATTCATTGTCTAGATCGAGGGCCAACCCTGGGTTCAAACACTGCCTACGTCTTTTCTTCCTTGTTTTCATCTGGGCTGTGGTGCAGAATTTCATGACTGCCTCAGTCTGTTTCCAACTGTGATTCTCCTTAACTTTGACCTGTACGTGGTTCGAGCATGTTAGCATGCTGGTCATCCTTCTGAACTGCGTGACCTTGGGCATGTTCCAGCCCTGTGAGGATGTGGAATGCCAGTCAGAGCGCTGCAATATCCTGGAGGTAGGATGGGGTCTAATGAAAAGAGTTAGAATGGGGTTCAGGGGACCCAGATTCAAATTCCAGACTTTGCCAGTCACTAAGTACGTAACCTTGGGTACATCACTCCCTTCTGTGGTCTCATTTTCCTCATCTATATGATGAAGGGGTTATACTAAATGGTGAATAAGGTCCCTTTCAATTCCAAATCCTATGATCCTATGATCTCAGATCCCAAAGAACTCTCTAAGAGAGCCTCCTACCCCAGTGATAGAATATGGTTAGTTGAGCTTTTAAAAGCAATTCCCATCCTTATCTGAAATACTTACAAACTGAGAGATAAATACAGTCTGCTCTCGGTTATTCACACTGAGGTTATACAAATGACATGGGATATGGCTACTGGGTCCCAATGTGACTTTTCTTTGTTGATCATGTGCATCAGTTTTAATAAATTAGCATGAGGATCATGCATATATTTAATAAATAGTAGAATTAGTTGGCATCTTTTGAGTAGACCCAGAATATGAGGTAGGGTGCATGTGGGGAGAGAGAGAAAGGGTCCCATAATAGAGACAGACAAAATTTTCCATAGACAGTCCCTTAACCTTGATCCAAAGACAAAATGACTGTGTAGGACCTGGTCATCTGCTCCTCTGTCACAGCAAAGAGAGGAGATTATTCTCATTGGTCTCTTCTTTTCCTTTACCAATTTAGGCATTTGATGACTTCATCTTTGCCTTCTTTGCGGTGGAAATGGTCATCAAGATGGTTGCCCTGGGGATCTTTGGCCAGAAGTGTTACCTGGGAGACACATGGAACCGGCTAGATTTCTTCATCGTCATGGCTGGGTCAGTAATCAAGATTCATAGACCTTGTGGGAGCTGGAGTAAATCCACCCATCAACAAGCATTTGTTAAGTGCCCACTACATGCCAGGAACTGTGACAAGTGGAAGGCATAGAAAGACAAAAAAATGAAATGATCTCTACTCTCGAGGAGCTTATACTACCATAAACATATGTATAAACATATTTCCACCCATATACACTCACATCCTCTCACCTGTGCACATACATAAACACCCATTCCAAGACATGCAAGCACACACATTACCATAAACATATATAGATGCACACACAGTAGGGCAACTGAGTCATGCACCTGCCATCCACCTATAATCGTATTTGGCAGGTTTTCCTGGAAACCAATAGGTGTCAGGGACAGCTAGATGGCACAAAGGATAGAATACCTGGCCCGGAGTCAGGAAGACATCTTCCTGAATTCACATCCAACTTCAGACATTTACTAGCTGTGTGACCCTGGGCAAATCATTTAACCTTGTTTGCCTCAGTTTCCTCATCTGTAAAATGAGCTGGAGAAAGAAATGGCAAACCACTCCAGTATCTTTGCCAAGGAAACCCCAAAAGGGGTCATAAAGAGTCAGACAAAGCTGAAAAACAACTCTACGACAACAAGCATCAGCCTAAGAGAGATCTGGTCAAAAAAAACTCATGGCATGTAAGTAGCTCCTCATCTGGTAAAAGTCTCTGCAAAATAGAGATGAGAAAAACTGAGCCAAAGGGAGGGAGGGAGCTCCTCTCCTCTTGTTTTTTTAACACATCTTTTCAACAAACATTCCAAGAGCACCAGCTGTGTATGGATCCCTGTGCTGGCCCCAACAGTCTGGGAGCCAGATAAGTAATATCTAGCCCTTTCTGGCCACTCAAGTAGCTTAACCTAATAGGAGATAAGACAGGGACACAAAACAAAGGGGTGAGACCAGCTAATCTCCTTCCTAGCAATCGCATGGTATTTTTACTGTTCAAATGTTCCTTCTAACCCTTTCATACTCTCTTCTAAGTTGCCTTCCAGCTCTGACATTCTGGGGCTCTGTGGGTGCAAGTGCTTGGGAAAGTTATCAAGTACCTAGAATCGACTCCCCCCTTACCTCCTCCCCTTAGAATCTCTAACTTCCTTCAAGTTTCAGCTCCTGTGATGCCTCTGATGAGAATCCTTTCTTGATCTCTCTGGTTTTTAGGGTTTTATCCTTTCCTCAAATTAATCATGTACATGGGGCAGCTAGGTGGTGCAGTGGATAAAGCACCGGCCCTGGAATCAGGAGAACGTGAGTTCAAATGAGGCCTCAGACAAATAATACTTACTAGCTGTGTGACTCTAGGCAAGTCACTTAACCCCAATTGCCTTGCCAAAAAAAAATTATCATGTATCTGTGGCTACCACTAGTAGAATGTAGGCATCTTGAGGGCAGGCAGAGTTTTATTTGTCTTTGTATGCTCAGTGCCTTGCATATAAGTTCATTTGCAGCAAGGGGCAATGAAAAATCTACTGGATTTTGGAGTTGGAAGACCTGGCTTTGAATCCCAGCTCTGCCACGGGAATACTAGTGTGCCTTTGGGGGAAGAGCCTAACCTCCCTAGACCTCGGTTTCCTGATGTGTAAAATGAGAGGGTTGGACTGTCTAGCCTTTAAGGTACTTTTTCGCTCTAAACCTGTGATCCTATGAAGATAAATTGGAATATAAGGATTTATTATTTCAATTATTAGGACTGAGTTAACAACGCCCAACTAGGTGCCTAGTGGCACACCTATTCTCCACCTTCCCCGTCAGCTTGGGTTCCAGGATTCTTATTGTCTCCCCAGGTCTATCTGCTCTTTTCTTTGGACAGCCAGAGTACCATGAGATGACTTCTTTGCCAAAAGACTTTGGGAAAGTATTTCTAAGCTTGCTGGGATAGTGGAAGTCACAATAGCTCAGGGCCCAGTGTAGTCTCTTTCTTCTCCGTCCGGGGGCTGGAGATAAATTGGAATTATTCTGGGCACTCCAATAAGCCACGGAATGAGGTCTAACTGCACGCTGTCCTCCCCCGGCCCAGCCTCCCTAAGTGAGTTGATTACACTAATAACAGAGCTACGGAGGAAGGAGAGTGATAAACAGGGAAACGGCAAAGCAAGCTACAACTCAGAGCTGCTGCAACATATGGTCATGAGATTTTCTTGCAGCAAATTGCTTCTGCCTGAACAGCAGAAATTTTAATCCACGGCCCATGTCCACCAGGAACACAAAGAAGAGGAGGAAACGGTTTATCAGCAAATCCACAGCGCAGACTTGAGCCTCATCCTCTGCCTCAGGGACACTGGCTGGGTCAACATCCCAGGCTGCAGATGGGGGAGACCGTGAGATCACCCTCGGACCAGCTGGCTCTGCCCACGTGGAAGTGGTTTATAAACTGTCTTGTTTTGAGCCCAAGAGCCTACACAGCACCCCCAGTGTATGGTGGTTCCCCCTAAAGTAGCATCTTCATGGTCATAGGAATACTGTTTGCTGTTGTTCAGTCATTTTTCAGTCATGTCTGACTTTTTGTGACCCCATTTGGGGTTTTCTTTTTTTTTCTTTTCTATTTCTTTTTTGGAGGCAATAGGGGTTAAGTGACTTGCCCAAGGTCACACAGCTAGTAAGTGTCTGAGACCAGATTTGAACTCAGATCCTCCTGACTTCAGGCCAGTGCTCTATTCACTGCACCACCTAGCTTCTCCATTTGGGTTTTCTTGGCAAAGGTACTGCAGTGATTTGCCATTATCTTCTCTAGCTCATTTTATAGAGGAGGAACTGAGGCAAACAGAGTTTAGTGACTTGCCCAGGGTCACACAGTTAGCAAGTGTCTGAGGCTGGATTTGAACTCAGTAAGTTGAGTCTTCTTGACTCTAGGCCAGGCATTCTATCTATGCCACCTAGGTGCTCAGGAACAATACTGTGTCAAACTATTTAAAGAAGTGCTCTTATGTGATCTCCATTCAGAGATAAGGAAACTGAGGCCTAGAGAATGACAAGGATTAGGAAGGGAATGAAAAGCAAATCATAAAAGAATCAGTGAAGAAACAAGAGATGTTTAGACTAGGGAGAAAAGATGTAAGGGGATTATGATAGCTCTCTGTAAGTATATGAAAAACGACCGTCTGTGGACGAGGATTAGATCAGTTCTGTTTGACCCCAGAGAAGAGAAGTAGGAGCAATGGGCAGAAATTACAGGGATGCTGACTTTGGCTGAGGAAGACCTTCCTAACAAGGAGACTTCACCAGGGATAGACGAGGATGCTTTGGGATGTAGTGAGATCACTGTCACCAGAAGTATTCAAGCCGAGGATGGATGATCAGCTCTCAGGGATATTTTCAAAGTAATTGATTCACAAAGCGGGAAAGTTAGACCACGGTGATGCCAAAGGTCCCGCCCATCTCTAAGAATCTAGGATGCTAAAGAACTTGCTATCACACAAATGGCATGAACAAATAAAGGCAAATTTGGGGCTATACTGTGGGAGGAAAAAGAGGTAAATAATACCTAGCCCTTGTCTGAAGCTAGGTGGTACCAGGGCCATCAGGTGGTGCGGTAGATAGAGCGCTGGGCCTGGAGTCAGGAAGACTAGAGTTCAAATCTGGCCTCAGACACTTACTAGATGTGTGACCCTGGGCAATTCACTTAACCCCTGTTTGCCTCAGTTTCTAGACCTGTAAAATGGGGATAATAACAGTATTTACCTCCCACGGTTGTTGTGAGGGTCAAATGAGATAATAATTATAAAGTGCTCAGCAGAGTGCCTGGCACATGGTAAGTGCTCTATAAATATTAGCTATTTTCATTACTAACAGCCACAAACAATAATCCTTTAAGTTTTTTTTTAATTGTTTTATATATATTATGTCATTAGTACTCACAAGAATCCATGTGTTAGGTTCAGGTGTTATCCCCATTTTACAGATGAGGAAACTGAGGCTGTCAGAGATTAAGTGACTTGCCTAAGGCCATATAGTTGGTTTTTAAGGCAGGATTCAAAATTCAGGTCTTCCTGACTCCAGGTCCAGCACTCCAACCACTATGCCAGCTAACAGCCTCTAACGGGACACAAAATATAAATTTTGGACTAACTGATCTCTAACATTCCTTCTAGTTCTGACATTCTCTGTTCTGTGTTCTAAGGTCCCTTCCACTGCTAATACCTTGTGTTCTATTTTCTAAGGGCCCTTCCACTTCTGCCATTCTGTGTCCTGTTCTAAGGACACTGCGGGGTTTTGACATTCTCTGCCCTGTGTTCCAAAGGCCCCTGCAGCTCTGCCAATCAGTGTTCTCTGTTCTAAGGGCCCTTCCAGTTCTAACATTCTATGTTCTATCATCTGAAGGCAGGACTGCAGTGGCCCCCACTGCAGAGGCCACTGCAGAAAGCTTGGGCAGCCCCAGCCCAATACCAGTGCCCAGGGTGGCACCCTGACAGCTGAGGCCTTTGGTCTATGACTCTTCACTGTAATTAATGTGTGTTGCTTGGTAAGGGTTTCAGCTCCATCTAGGCCTCTCAGTCATTATTTTCTATGCATGGGCTCAGTGTTCCATGCTGGCAGCCTCAAACCTAACGATGTCATCCTCAGAAGAGAAGAAGGCTTTAGTGCTATGCTCTGGGCTGGCTCCAATAAATCCATCCAATTAGAGGGAATCTCTCCCGGCACCACACACCTTCGAAGCTTCCCAAAATGGGAACATTTACTCACTCGGCACATTTCTATGTCTTATGAGATGTACCCATTAAGGATACCAGGACTGCAGTTAGGCATCTCTGCAGATCAGAATAGGCCAGCTGGGAATTGGTTTTCCTTAAAGTGTCTCTGAGCATGATTCATCCTTTGGGTTTTGAGATGTCATGATACTGTGCCCTCCTACCCAGCCCCAGAGTCTCAGAGGAGGCTGAGGGTTAGTGCAGGTCCCCCAGAAGATCACTTTACCAGACATTTCTCTCCCTGTTCCTTGTTCTGCCCTCTGGGGAGAGGCAGAATAAGTCTGATCTCTCTCCCAGGTGACTGGGGACCAGAAAAAGTCCCTCCAGTGCCAATAAAAGGGAAGGAAGTCTAGATCCTGGATGCGCTTGATGAACTGGGAGTCTGCCTTGTTCTGACTTTCTCATCCTGCTCTGCTGCCATGTACCTGGAGCATACAGTTATGCATAGAACCATTGTCCCTGTCGGGACCATAAAATTCCCCGGGATCATCTGCCAGCGTTCAATTAGGAGAAACCAAAAGGAAGAACAAGAACAATGGCTGACTAGACTGAGGTCGTGGACCAGAGGGCGCCATCCCAAAGTTAAGACCATTCTCAGAAAGGGGGGCTCTGAGACCAGCCATCAGGCATGGCCAGACCAAGCACAGTAAGTTCAGGAACCTCTTGGGCTCTTGCGCTCCTCCCAGGGCTCAGGCATGGGAGCCAGGCTGGAGAACTCTAAGTCTGGCACAAGCACCCCTCAGATGGCCCCTGGGTTTGGACAGATGCTCAGAATATCTGCCCCTGGTCTAGGTATCAAGCCAAAAGACAGGGGCCAGGCAGAGTTGGATAACCAGAGAGGGAGAAAGACAGCAAAAGAACCCACTTTTCTGAACTCTACCAATGGGTTTTTCCTTAGCTGCCTAATGGTCCCTTCTCTAGGCAGTGTATTGGAGTGGGAAGAGCCCAAGTTTGTCGGGGTGGGGAGATAACAAAAAACCTCGGTATTAGCTTCAGTGAGTGAGCTTCAGTGTGACCCTCAGCAAGGTGCATTCTCTGTTTGGGCTTCAGTTTCCTCCTTTACAATATGAGAGGACTGGACCAGATGATCTGGAATTCTGTGAATTACAACCATTCATTTGGAGAACTTGGAGCAGGGTCTCTGTGTTCCAGTGATTAAAGAAATCCCTAAATAAGTGCTGGGATGGAGGTCAGTGAGGAGACGCGGAGTATGGAAGTACCTACTTGGTTCCATGTTGTAAGACAATGGGACATAAAGCAATATCCAAAGGGCCAAGACAAAAGGGAAGCAGGTCATTGCCATAGCAGGAATAATGGCAGAATCAAGAATGTTCATACTAGATCAGGAGGCCAAAATTCAAGCAGTCAATTGTTTCTAGCCATGTAGTTTTGGTTTTTGTTTTGTGGTGGTGGTGGTGGTGGTGGTGGTGGTAGTGATTGTTATTGTTGTTTCTATTGTAGCTACTTGTCTTCCCCACCCTTTGGTAGTACTGCTAGGCTAGCACGGTCATGCTCATGGTCTTGAGTAAGTTCTGCCAAGCTTCCTGATGACATCACCTTGGTACAGCCCGTGGGCTCATCCATATTGCTGGTCTCTCTGGCTGAGATACAGCCTTATTCCTTACCCAGACGGCCAAGCAATTGTTCGGACTCCTGGATCAATTGGTCCATCAATAAGCATTTATTAAACATCTGCTATGTACCAAGCACTGTGCTTAGTACTAGAGATACAAACACAGAGAATTTAGCATTCCCTGCTTTCAAAAAGGAGTTTACACTTCTCTCTCTGTTCCATGAGCAGGGGTAGGAAATCAAGGTCACCATCATAAGATCATAGATATAGAGGCAGAAGAGAGCTTAGAGGCCATATAGTTCAACCCCCTGCTTTTACAGATGAGGAAACTGAGGTCCAGAGAACTTAAATAACTTGCCCAAGGTTGCACAGGTAATAAATGGAAGAGTTAGGATCTGAGGGTGGGTCCTCTGACCCCAAATTCAGTGTGCTTTTTCACTGTACCATACTTCGGTTGTTGTTTAGTGATCTTTCAGTTGTAACCAACTCTTCATAACCTCCTTTTGGGGTTTTCTCAGCAAAGATACTAGAGTGGTTTGCCATTTCCTTCTCCAATTCATTTTACAGATGAGGAAACCGAGGCAAATAGGGCTAAGTGACTTGCTCAGGGTCACTCAGCTAGTAAGTGTCTGAAGCTGGATTTGAACTCAGGTCTTCCTAACCAGAGCTCTATCCACTGAACCACCTAGCTGCCCTATACCCTACTGCATCTCCTGAAAAGCTCAAAAATATTGAGAAGCTCTGGAGCATGATAGGCCTTGACTAGGTTTTTCCCTAAATCTCTTTATTTGTAGCCAAAATGGCAAATACTCTCTCCTGAACCTTAACTTAGATAAATAAGACTTTTCCCTCCTTACTGTTCCCACTGCCATGCTTTCATTTCCCCCTCCTCCCACTACCTGAACAATTGTGGTTGCCTCCTAACTGGTCACCCTGTCTCCATTCTCTTCCCCACGTAATTCATCTTGCACTCAATATGTAATGTGAGGTTATTCAAAGCACCACTTTCATCATTTCACTCCCATCCCCAAGTACCTATGTTGGCTCCCCATTGGCTGTAGAATAACATTCATACTGCCCAGCCTTGCATTTAAGGCCCTGAACACTTGAAGGCCATCCATCTCTCCAACTTTACCCTGCACCGCTCCCCAGCACTGGTTTGCCATATAGCCTGGAGCTCTAGGGGCTGCCTCCACTCAGAGATTCTGTGATTTCTGCCCACGCCTTCTAGTCTGAGTTGATTTCTCTTTGTCTCTTTCCCTCCAGCATGATGGAGTATTCACTGGATGGACACAACGTCAGCCTTTCTGCCATCCGAACCGTCCGCGTTCTCCGGCCACTCAGAGCCATTAACAGGGTGCCAAGTAAGTCCGCCGTGTCTTTCCATAGCCCAGGCGAGAGAACTGGGCAGCTCAGCTGCCAGAGCTAACAAAGCTCAGCCCCATAGCAGCTTTAAAACGATACACAGCGGTGCAAAGCTTCTGTCCCAGGAGCCCTACCAGCTCATCTTTTAGTCTTGCAATTCTCTAACCCCTCCTCCATTCCCTTTACACCGTATTATCAATGTCAGGGAGTAAAGGAACTTATTTATTGCTTTTGCAATAAAAAAGAGAGAGAAAATTTACTTTTGCAATAGATTCATAGAGCATTCCTGTTGTGACCCAGGCTCTAAATTATGATAGAGCGATGGGGCAACTGGAGATAGAGGAAAAGGAGGGCCTGGTGCCATGCAGGTCACGGTTTTCAAAGGAGACAGGCTCTCCACAGCTAGTCTTTTCTCATCTGAACCTAGGTCTCTGCTTGCCAGGCAGCCTAGTAAGTGGAACCAATTTTTCTTTTTTAAAAAAAATCTTATTTTTAAATTCTATTTTATTATTACTTATATTACATATTATATTATTTTTAATTATTAATTCTAATTCTAAAAATTCTATTTTTTTTTGTTTTGACATCCTCTTCATTTCTGAATCTATCCCTCTTCCCTGCCTTTCCCAGCAAACCATCTCCTGTAACAGGGGCAGCAATTGTGATTTCAGTGGTTGTAAGGAACTCCCAGACAAGGAAACTCCTTACCAATACAAGGTGGAAATTTGTCGGTACTTCTTAGTCTTAGAGAGTTACCCAGAGTACTGAGAGGTCATTCAACTAGCCTGTTGTATTAGAAGTTGGACTTTAACTTGGGACTTCCTAGCTCCAAGGCCAACTTCATATCCACCATATCATGCTGCCTCTCTTTCTCCTGTAACAAAGATTTTAAAAGAAAGGAAAAGAATATTGTTCAGAGGGGGGGAGAAAACCCTGGCAATACATGCAAAGCGTCTGACAGCACATGCAGTATTCCACACCTATGCTCCCCCACCTCTGCAAAGATGAAAGCAAGGTTCACTTTCTCAACTCTCCTCCAGGGCTAATATTATAATATAATGTTACTAATGTAATATATTACAATATAATATGTTATTATAATGACACAAGATAAGTTTATTCTGTCGCTCTTTTCATTTGCATTGTTGGAGTCATTATGTATATTCATTTCCTCATTCTTCTTACTGCCACTCTTCAAGCAGACTGTTCAATGATAACCAAGTCCTGGGCTCATAGGGTCATAGGTAGAGCCGGAAGGGGCTTTAGAGGCCATCAAGCCCAATTCCTTATTTGTAAAATGGAGAAACTATGATGCACATGCAATAAGTAACTTACAGGAACGCGGCATCATAGAGGTGGAGCTGTTCTTATGTGGTAATATAAAAATAGCTGATGTTCATATAGTACTTGAAGCACTTTGAGATAGAGAGTTAGAACGAAAAGAGGGTTGACCATCGATTAGAACTTGGGATGCTCTGGGAAAACAGCATAAGAATGAGGGACAGAAAGATGGAGATGGGGAGAGAGAGAGACAGAGGGGCAAAAAAGGGAGAGAGAGAAAGAGACAGAGTCACAGAAACAGTGAGAGAGGTAGCAGGAGAGAGAGAAAAAAAGAGAAAGAGGTGGGGAGGGGTGGTGAGGAGAGAAGGAAGGAGAAAGGGAGACAGAGAGAGAAAAAGATGGAAGGCAGAGAGATGGAGAGTGAGTGAAAGAGTGAATGAAAGAGAAGAGAGAGATGACAGAGAGAGAGGAGACAGAATGAGAGGGAGAGAGAAGAAAATGAGAGAAAAATGAGAAAGAGGCAGAAGGCAAAAAAGAGATAGAGAAAAGAGAGTGAGAGAGATGGCAAAGAGAGGAGACAGAATGAGAGCGAGAAAGAAAGAGAATGGGAAAAGAAGATAGAAAGAGAAAGAGGTGGGGAGAGAAAGAGAGAGGAAGTGAGACAGAGAGAACAAGAGAGAGGGAGGGAGGGAGGGAGGGATAGAGAAAGAGATTGAGAGAGAATGAGAGGGAATGAGAGAGAAAGAAAGGAGAGGAGGGAGAGAAGAAAAAGATGAGACAGAGACAGACACAGAGAGAGAGAGAGAAATGGAGAGAGGATCAATTGGGGAGAAAAGAATTCTAAAACAAGAAACAGCTTTCCTTTTGCAGGCTTTGCAGAGAGGCATGGTACCCAGATGAGGAAAGAATGCTAGACCCAAAATTAGAAGAAACCTGGATTCAAACACCTCCAAAACTCATTAGTTTTGTGACACAGAGCCAGTCACTTAACCTTTCAATTTCTTCTTCTGAAAAATGGAGATAACTACACCTCTCTTGTAGAATTATTGTGAGAATCGAATCATAAAAAAGTTTCTCATTTGCTTTCTTAGTCTCAGTGAGCTGTCAACACACGAGCTATGATGAGGTTACCATATAATATCAGCCAGTGTCACCAAAGGCAACGCTTGAACCTAAATCTTTTCTGGACTCCTAGGCCAACTCTCTATCCATTCTAACTCCGTATCCCAAAGTGCTTCAAGTCCTATACTAATATCCCCTTTTCCTATACTATCACATAACAATAGCTATATTTCTGTAGCATTTTAAGACTGACAATGATTTTCACACAAAACTATAGATAATGCAATTATTATTATCTCCATTTGATGGATAAGGAAACTGAGTCTCAGGGAGATGAAATGACTTAGCCTGAGTCAAGAACTGGTCAATGTGGGATCCAGGAGTCAAACCCAGAGCTCTCCTGCCTCCAAGCCCAAGGCTTATTCCAGTATACTGCACTGCAACTACTTCATGTCACAAAGATTATGCCTTAAACAGCTAGAAATTAACTTTCAAGTGTGTGTGTGTGAGAGCCCCTTCCAGAGCCCTCTGGTTCTATCTGCAGAATAAATAAAGGCCTTGTCAAAGATGGCCTTTAAACTCAAGAAAGTTAAGCAGATTCAACTCCGTGGAGAGTGTCCTGAGGCAGCTACATGTTTGCCTACATTTCATAGCTGAGCAAATGCCAGCCTCTTTCTGTAAGGATAAATCCCACATGGGACCCTGCTGGCTTTTATCACAACCAGCCAGGGTCTAACTGATCACAGGAGTCCACTTAAGCCCCAGAAAAACTGTCACAGGATTTTAGAGTTGGAAAAACCTTAGACTTTATCTTGTCTAACTACTGCATTTTACAGAGAAGGAAACTGAGGCATAGACCCGATCCAAGGAAACTCAAGTAGTAAGTGGCAAATCCATTTGTCTGCATCAGAACTCAGGCTTTCCAACTCCAAATGCATTGCTTTTTTCACTATGCTATGCTGCCTCTTTCTTGTGAGTCTGTTCTCTGCAAGTTCCAAGGTCAAAGAACCTTACTAGTCCCGTGCTAAAATCTCCACCTTTACCAATCCTGAAATAAAATCCCCACCATACATTCTTTCCTGCTGGCTGTATTCCTTATGTCTCTGTGGTCACCGATGGAGGCCTTTAGCTTCTACATTAGTGTTTTGTCCTCACAGACCAAGTTCCCTCTTTTTTCCATAATTTTATTATCTTCATACTCATAAACTCCACTTGTCTCCTATGAACAAAGGAGGCATGGCTTACCCAAAGTGGGAGTGGACGGGGGTGGGATTTCTACGTATGTCTTCTATCCGGATCTGAGAAATAGTACCAGCAAAGGCTCAGGCATGAGAAAGCCAAAGACTGTCCTTTGAGTCTATATCTTTATGTCATAGAAAAAGACTGGAAAATGTTCCTATCATTTAGTCCTAGGAGGGTCTTTAGAGATTATCTAATCCAACTCTGTCATTTTACACAGGGGGAAATTGAAGCCCAAGGAATTTATGTGAATTTTTCAAGGTCACAGAGGTTATAGGTAGTCTTCCAATTCCATTCCATCCAGCTTGGTTACTGTGTCCTGAAGACTTGCTGGGTTTTTCCGTCTCCTAAAAAACTTGTTGGAGATTCTGATCCATTCAATGAAGAGCACCTTGGCTATCACACCACAGATCCTTCTGTATTTTCAATGCTGTTGTCTGCCTCACTCCCTCCTCTCTTGACTTATATAGAACTCTGTGGGAGTTGGATATGAATGTTTCTGAAGCCAAATCCAGTCCCCTTCCCAGTATGCCACACCAGACCAACCCCTCATGAACTAGAGTTTTCTTCCTGAGACTCAGCAACATCTTACTTCATGTTACCTTTTCCAGGCTTTTTAATTATCCCAACCAATAATCCCAATGAATACAGTAAACTCTGGATTAGGAAAAACTGGTCGGAGGCACCTGCCATCCTCACTGTAGCCACTCTGTGGAGGGGCCCAGATAGCATCATCTAAGAGGCTTTGGCTGAAACCTGTCTGCTGCAACATGGAGCCAAAGAATGTCAGAACCTGAGGAGACCTTTGGGGTCATCTCATGCAACCTCCACATCACACACCTGAAAACAGTTAGGGGCAATAACTCTCTTAGGGTCACACAGCTAATAAGTGATTTATCTGAGACTGGAACTCCAGGTGAAGTCAAGAAGATCATCAAACTCATTTCTAGATAGAGGCGGTAGAACCAGTATAGACAGTCTACATCATAGTGAAACAGACAATGGAGAGCTTCTGGTTTTCAATCTTTGAGAAGCCAGGGGCCCTTTCTACTGCTTTAAATGTGATATGCAGTGGAATTAGCCCTGGCTGTGGAGTTGGAGCACATGCGTTAGAATACCAGCTCTACCATTTCTACCTGTGATATCTTGGACAAATTCCTCAACCTCTCTGTGCCTCGGTATCCTCCTCTATCAAATGAAAGGGTTGTGGGAAATGAGCTCTAAATTTATGACTCTGGGACACATCTAAGAAAACTAAGGCTCTGACACAGAGTTCTGTATCAGTCAAGATGGGAGCTGAGGGGCAGTGCAAGGCAGGGAACAGCATTTGAAATATAGAAGAATCTGTACTTTAGTAAGAGGTAAGACACCATTCATTGAATGGCTTAGAATCTGAAACAAGGTTTTTTCCAGGGCC